TTTAAGAAAGTTAATATATAAATAATAATTATCTTTGTTATGAGAAAATCACAACTCAAAAAATTAATAATAAAAAAAATTATATACATACATATATATATATATGTAATTCTTTTTTTCTTTATAAGCAATAATGCAGTGTATTCTAAAATATAAAAAAATGGGTCGAATATTTTCTAATCTTTAAAATATGTATACATATGCAAAATAATTTTTTTCTATGAACTCTATAATAGATAAATCGCTCACATTTTCATCTTCGTTGGGCTGCATAAAGCCAATAAATCCGCTTCCTAATTATAATATAAGAAGAAAATAATCTGTACAAGTTCTCATGAAATACAAATATCATAGCAACTACAAAGCGCTATATCAAAATATATGCATATACTCTTTCAGTTAACATAATATATTACATGAGTATATAATATTATATATTATAATAAACCTATATGTTTTTAAGACGATCGTGTGCACTTTCGTGACTTGTACATGATAATGAATGTTCAAGGTTTTTCTTGTGATGTATGAGTGCGTGACGAGTATACCAAACGCCGTAAAACATGCTCGCCATCGATGATTGAGCAGCAGCCGATAGTCGAGTTAGTATTCAAGTAGTTTCCGATCCATACATTACTATTAGAAATGTTATAAAATAAACGTAACACTATTATTTGTAGTCATATAGAGATTTTCAAAACGCTCAATAAAAAACAGTTTCTATAAGTATATTTAACGGACATACAATCATTGTAAAACATCAACGTATAAAGTGTAACACATTAAACTAGTTAACAAATCGGAAATAATGTGTTGTAATTTAACGTGAGCTGAGTAGTGTATACACAAGTTTATTAAAATAATACAAAATATAAAAAAATTTAACAAAAAAAAAAAAAAAAAAACGATGAAACGTTATTTATTAAAGAAACATGTTTTAGGTGTGACTAAAAAAAAATAATTAAAAAAACAACTATGGCGAAAAATGCAATGTGGTTCTAATTAAAGTAGAAGGAAACGGTGCACGTTAATGGAAAAGACGATAAGAATAAACGTCGGAAGGAAGGGCGGAAGGAAGGAAGGAAGGAAGGAAGGAAGGAAGGAAGGAAAGAATGCCTGAACGTACTTAGTTATTAGCCGACACGGACGGGGTAAAAATTCAGGATGGGAATGGGGGGAGGTATATAGTAAAATGTTGGACGGACAGACGGGTAGCAAACACGGCACGTATGTTTTCCACCCCACTCCGATCCCTTCCCCTGTATTACCACCTCTCTGTTTCCACATCGCAATATCCTATCCGACCAATCCGGAAGTACTCGAGGGGAGTGATTTGTCGTGGGCGCCGGTGCCCGATTGGTCGACATCGATTTTCTCAACGCCGCGCCCCACACATACACGGCCGTCACGCAGGCGGCGCCCTTACGCGCCCGCGATACACCTCGGCGGCGTCGACGGGTCAGTTATACTATCGCGTTTGGTCTGATATCATTCCCTCTCGATCGTGTGTAGTACTCCACCGCCGAGCTGTAGTCCACAGGAGTATATATGTTAGTTAGCTATCATTAGTTATCATAAACAAGTATTTATCACATACATACGGTGTACATCGTTCAACACGTATACCGTTCGACCAATATATTATACAACGGTATAAAAATAATAGCAGTAACCATATCGCAATAGTTGATGTTCATATTCGACGTGACTAGAACAATTATTGGATTCTCCTCAAATATGATCGTACACGTTACAACGATCGTATCGATCGGGTGAACGATCCGCCGTGTAAACTATGTTGGACATCAAAACGTCAGATTACCTGAGCAGAAATGGGACATTTCCCAACTTATCAATGATTTTTGCCGGTACGTGTTTACTACTTATTGTTTGCGTCCAATCAAGCTAAAACATAACAGATTATAATATGTATATAACATTATTTATAAAAGAGTTTCACTTAAAATTATATCGTACACATACGCGTAACTAAGTTAATATTCTAGATTCTGAGTAAAATGAGGAATGTATTTATTTATTTATTTTTAATAATATCTATATTTATCTTTTTATTTTACCCCTTTTATTTTTTTGCTCGTTCATCCAATGATATCATTTTTTCATTCATTATTATAAGCAATTTTATTATAATTTAAATTCAACCCAAGTATAAATGTTAGGTAACAATTAATCTTGATCGGTTATAATAACTGCTAAACTAAAATTTACAAAATGGGACAAGTACGGTATACTAAATTTTTGCTAGAAAAGTTTTCGCAATATATAAAATACAACAAAATTAATACAGAAAATAAAACTTGCATATATTATATAAAATTGTAAATTTTAATAATGAAAAATATATTATACCTATTACTATCCTAATGAAGGCATAACCGAAAATTTTAATCTATATACAAAATAAATAAAAAAAAAGAAATTCATATTGGCTATGAATTATTTTTTAAAAATTTAAAGTAAATATAGACATACTTAAGAATAATAATACATATACAGGTGTTTATTATGTTAGTATTAACCCAATACCACGTTTAAAAACGACGACAGCGATAATTTATAACTATAATAATTATCACTATAATGACACTAAGATGCAACTACCATTATTTATAATTATAAACGATAATTTATTAGTTTTTATTGATTATTTAAAGAAATATAGACATACTTAAGAATAATAATACTATATAATACCATCTTAAATATAAACATCATTCGTATTTCTTAAGATACTTATAATTTACCTCTCTAACATCCATGTTGTAAAATTGCATATCTTCATCGCCGAGTAAAAAGAAGTCGTTTTAAGATTACTATTTTTTTAAAGATGACTAATACATTTATTTTAATTTAAAAATAATTGGTCTTACGTATAATTCAACTTTTGCATGAATATGAATTATGTATACTCTTTATATTATATTATTTTACTAATAAATAAATGTGTAACAATTATTGTTTTTGTTTTGAGCTCAAATTAATTTATCGTAGGTAATTTTAATTTCCAATGGCACATCTAAGAGTCATTTAAAGAAGGTAATAATTGTAATTTATACTACTATTTAACTGTAATTCATTTCTAGTTTTCTTTAGAATCTCTGACTTTCTAATATTATTTTTTTCGGTATTATTCCATGAGTATGAGTCGTCAGAGGTAACGGTAATAGGTAATTTTAACCAATATAGGTAGATCTAAAAACCAATTTGATCCGTATCTAAAATCTGTGAATTTTCTGTATTTTTGGCATATTTATTATTATTTTATTTAATTATATATTTTTTTTCGGTTTCGTTTTAGCACCACAAATCTTATCAGTCGTTAATCCATTCTTTAACAATTACTATCATACTATTGGATATTATTATAGGTTATATAGTATACAGAGATTTATACGATCTTATTTACATACATAAGACCGTGTTTAATGATTATAATTATCATAGATACTAAAATATTCTATTATCTATGATGATAATATGATCATTCAATATTTAAACCCCGACCATGACTGTTCTATAATCTTCAGTAATATACATAAAAAATATTCATAATTTAATTGATGCAGACATAGATTCACCAAAATTTGCATTAGAGTATGAACAGTTGATATCATTGTAAAATAATTCAGAATTACGAAAAATTAACCTTTTTTTCATTTTAATTTATAGCTACTAGTGTTAAAATTATGATAGTAATTAAAAAAGGTGAATACAAGAATATAATTACAAGTACATTATTTAATTAAGCCAGATTCCATTAAAATAAATATAAATAAAAAAAATTAAAAAATAAACTACAATTTTAATTGCAATAATGGATTTTGTACTGAGTATGAAATAGAAATTAAAATAAATTTTAAGTGAGTTTATTAAAATTAGGCGTTTAGCCTGCAGAGCATGGAAATTAAATTAAATGTGAAAATTCACAGACATTCATTCAAATGAAGTGTACAGAATGAAGAATCATCTAGCACAAGTTTTTATGAGTTGCTAAGTATTAGATTATGTGTCAAGTTTAACCGATTAAATTGAACTATATATAGAAAAAATTAACCTTATTAAATTAATAAGAACACGATTTTCTTCAATGCATTTTCCAAATATTTGTTCAATATTGGTAAGAGTGGTAGCTTCTAAACCTCATAGTACTGATATTAAACATTTGATAAGTGCCAGAAACTTATTAAAATCACTGTTATGAACTATGAATGTTGAGAAAGAATACCTGAACTTATACATACATTATAATATGTCATTATTATATGGTTGAGATCCTTAGGACTTAGTTCAAAGTTGTGGAGTCCTAAAAATTTCTTAGTACAAGTCCTGTTATAAATATAATGTTACAATAAAAAATAAATGTACATTATTCTCACCCTAATAATATGTTACTTATTATATGACCTGCTGTATATATTATTATTATTGATGAAACTATTTTATTTTAGTTGAGTATTTAAAATAACAATTTAATGAAGTATAGATATGATATATATTGATAGCTGATACGGATATTAAGAATTGTAGTAATTTATTTAGCTTTACTCATATTAGCGCAATTTACATTATTATATTATTTTAATTATACAAAAACCATAAGGCATTGTTTATATATTAAACCTTAACTATATATACATTTTTAATATATACAAAAATGATTAAGATTTAATTTAAAGTTTATGAGTAATACACAAATACGCAGTGATTGTTTTTTCTAACATAATCTCTCGGAGTCCAATGTGCAATAGAATATTTTGAACATTATCAAATTATTGTTACGCCAATATATACTTTGAAAATTACCGCAAACGTTCTTAAATATCATCTGTCGCACAAAAACATGATATTAGTTAAAACTAAATAATTTTCAAGTCATATTTATACAAATATATTTTTAATGTCTTAATAAACATTTGTAATTATACATTTTTGTAATAAACTCATTATCGTACAATTTTAATAAATTATATTTGTTCTAGATACACATTATAAAGGATCATGGAGTACACATTCATCGGGCCAAACACAAGGTATATTTTATTTTGATTTAATTAAATTATTTTGAGAGAATTTTCTTAATTTATTAGTGGTTATTAGTGGTGGAAAATAGTGTTTTATAGCTATTCTTTAATAATTTATAATATGTAATATAATTATACAACAATTTCTCAGGTAAAAAAATTAAGTTTAACTAAGTTCTTAAACTAAAAAGTTTAATCAAAATTAATGGTTACTAAACATTAAAACACAAAAAAATAAATATTAAATAATGAGAATGAAATAAAATGGAATAAAAAATAAGATTTGATTAAATTAATTCGTATAAATAATAGTATACATTCACAATAAAAACTATTTCAGTAAACATTTTAAAATAAAATCAAAGCATAATTCAAGAATTATATACGACAATACCAATAACATTATTATGAATATTCCATTCAATTTCATTTGGAAGGGTAAAAAATATCCTAAATAAACACACAGCATGATTGTCACGTTGTCCGGCGAATCGATGAAATCATAGAAGGGTCTTTACCTTTTGGTCGCCAGCTAAACATATATTCTTTCTTTCCTTTTTTTTTGTTGTCACAATCAAGACAATTTTAGGGGTAGAAAGGTCTTGTACAACAAATGCGCTTGATCACGTGCGAACGTTATCAAAATGTTATCGTTTGAATCGGTTCGGACAGACAATCAAATAACATCCACACGAATGAACAATTCTTCTGGCATGTAAAGCAGTCAGTTATCCATTGATTTCTATAGACATTTCTCTCTATCACCGAGGAGGATTTTTGGAATTATAAAAAACGGCAAAATATAATATACATTTGTGAAAAAAAAAATATTAAAATAAAACATTCTATTAAAAAAAAATATTACTTATTATTTTTGATATCTACTAGAATAATTCTTAATTCTTTTAAACTATAATTTATATTTACAGTTTTTATAATATTTATGTATGTATATAGTAAAGTGTTATATACTTACACGATAGAATTTATAGTAAAAAAAAAATTAAGTATAGAACTTTTTTTATTTATTTAGAAAAAAATTTATCTTTGATTTTATGGTTTGACTAATTATGTAAAACTTATTTTTTTAATTCGTACTCAATAAATATTTAGAAAAAATATTACATAAAAACTACTTTCTCATTGTATCAATTATGTACAATAAAACATATTACACCATTAGGTATAGTTAAGGATAAACATTTAAATGTCAGTTTCTACCTATATAACTTAAATTATTCATTTACAAGGAATTAACGAACCATGAATACTAATTTATGTTAAAGTACTAATAACATCTAATGATAAATTATCAATACTTATTATTTATTATTCATTATTATTTAAGTACAACTATAATAATCATAATAATCAATAAAATTAATATTTAATTTCTCTAAATACTTTTAACATTAAATTCGGGACATATATCAATGTACCTATGTCTTTTTTTTAATATTTTTTGATAAAATTGTATAAACATTTTAAAAATTTGTTTTTATTATAAGATAATTATTGTTTATTAAAAGTACAAAAACCTAAATATAAAAATAAAAATTAGAAAAAAATAAAAATTAAAAGTTTTATGCATTCTTATTTCTTATAATCATACACTTAACATTCAACAGCAGATAGCTCATGAAATAAATATGATTTTCTTGTCATATTACAAAGAAAAAATAGAAGCTCTATTAATTTAAATACCTCGGGGCACTTTATTGTGTGTTATAAAACAAACTGAATGTGGACACCTAATTCTATTATAATCTCTTATTTTTCGACCACCGTCAAAGGCCACAAGCACAATGGTTCAATGAGCTTTGATTGGGCACATCAAAGGCACGTTAGTCATACACTACCAAAGGCGGTACAAAAACCAACGCCCTAGGCTCACCACCGTCACCTTTATAAAAGCGTCCAACTGTAAAAGCTGGTTTAACTGGGGATCTACGTAATATTATGAAAATGCAATCAAAACACTATACAGTACAGATACACACAAACCTAACCAAGACAACTTGAGATTGGAATATTTTAAATTCAATTTTATCACATGTATATATATATGGTTAAAAATAAAAACTAAACGTCAATGATTGGAAAATAGATAAATTGGCTAGAAATAACTAATAGTAAATTTTGAAATTTAATGTAGGTTAGTTTTTTATGCCCTTGTGTAACATTAGTGAAATATTCAAGAAACAAACGTACAAAAGCAAATTCACGTATGTGCCAACATTATAGTCATAATTTTATGAAACATATTTTTATACAACAAAACATCATTTACAATACTATCTAGTATTTGATATATTAATTTAAGAGTTCATATTATGAATATGAATACACAATATGTATATTATATATGAAATTTTACTTTCAATAAAATATCTTTACAGACGAATAATGTTTATATATTAATTTAGAATTGCAATCCTAATGAGAAACAATTGTTTTGAAAGAACCATTTCAAAATATTTATAATAAAATATATAATTGTACAACCATAAAATATTTTTTAAAATTTGACCGTTTCAAAGATAGAATCAATAAGACCAAGATTTTTTAATACATTATAAGTAAAATTACTCGTGTTTTTCTTAGTATTAGATAATTTATTTAAAAGTTGTTTTTAAAGTTTTTCCTCGCACTTAGAATAATTATACCGTAAAACAAAAATTAAATGTAGCCTTAGACATAAGTTAGAAAGAAAAATAGATAGATAGCTAGATAGGACAATCAGTTAACCGATGATCGAATAACGATTCCTTGAAATGTAGAGATCCTTAACGCGTTAGCGGTTCCATTAACGTGAATGTACCGTCTCGCACCCGTTGGAAAGCTTCGTCGTCGGCACAGTAAACGATAATATTGATAATATTATTATTAGTAGCTGTAGTATAATATACGTCGAACAAGTGGAGTGTGCATCAGATTAATAATGAAGGGCTGCGGCGGTGGTTATAATTAAAATTAAACTCCTCCGGCCGTGTTAAATCGAACACACACATACACACACACACACACACACACACACACACACACACACACACACACATATAGATGCACACAACCGATGACGAAGTGACAGGAGCGGGTGAAAAACAGATTTTTGTCGTCATCGAAATAAGGTGGGCGGATTTCGCGCCAGTGTACCCGCGGCCGTCAGCGACTAAAACGCCCCAACAAGTGACCGTGAACAAGAGGCCGGTACACACACACACACACACACACAACATGCGGCGTTTAACTCGAACCCGAAATCCATCCCGTGGGATTACGACTACGACGGCGATGACGCCGATGTCCAACCGACCGTATCGCCCTCGTTGCCGACCGTATTATTATTGTTATGATACAGTGTATTGTAATATAATATAATAGTACTACGTCGTTCCTGTGTACTTATACCATGACGTGATAGTGGCATAGGCGCTGTCAGATTTCGTGCACTGATTCGAGGACCGGTGACGAAAATGGGGGAAAAAAATAACAAAACATTTATACGACTTAAAGATTACATTGCGATGTTTGTGAAATGGAGCGGCTCAAAAAATCCACGGTTAACATGAAACGTCTAACGTAATACTAAAGACAATAAGACAAAATACAATAATATTAGGAAATTGAGTAACGGTCATCACCACGGCATCCTCTAAACTCTCACCACCACCTATCAAACTCTGGAATTTTATTTCATTTGTTTATAACAAATGATTATATTTCTATTTAAATATTTTAAATAATTTCTAATAAAAAAAATTAATGAAAATTATTAAAAGTAGTGCTTATAATTCCAGTAAAATCTATATTCAACCCCCTTTTTTTATTAAACCTCTTGTCGATTACTGAGTATAATTTCAAAAAACGTAATAATTAACATTTTACATGTAATTCAATATATTATTCAAAAAATAAATTAAGCTTTATAATAATCTAAAAAAATAAAAATACTTTCTTGTATACAATTCAGATTATTGCCAACATTAATATAACATTAACATTTCTAAATAAAGTGAGTAGATATATATATAATACTACAACTCTTGTAAAATCGTCGACAACACCATAAGGTAAAAAATAGTTTAAAAAGGGTTAGGCTATAATAATGAACTTGGACTGCGGTTATATAGAAAGGTGGTACTTGACACACAAGTTATGAACCGAGAAAGAAGAACGATCGACTTTTTCCCCTTACCTACCTTATCCCTCACGATCCCTCTAGACTGTCAATCAACTGGGGCAGTTGCACACGAGTCCACGTGCCGATAATGGAACTGTTAAAACGTTTTTGTAAGCACTCAGATGTCAGACCCCACCAAAAAGTATCACGTTTAAAATGCAACCTAAACGTCTCTTATCAAGTCAACCTGAAAGAATAACAAGTCACAGTTATTTGCTCGCTGACCCTTTTTTACACTACCCTTCGTGACAAAGTTATTAGACGGCCCCCGAGAAAAAAAAACACAACTTCGGCCACTATACGTCACAATTTTACAGCAACAGCCGTTTCTAATTAATCCAGCGAAGCGAGAACCAAAAAAAGTTCATTAAATACTTTGAGTTACCCAACTTACTTTTTAAAAATATTGAACTATTAACTTGTTATGAACTCCATGCTCAAAAGCTTACAGTTATTAATAAGAAACATTTAATTAATTTTTACTTATTTTATCATATTTTTAATTTAAAAATCATTTTAGAGAAACATTTTGTAAAAATTTAATAATTTCAGCTTTATTTCTATAATTTGATCTTTCAAATATACTTAACCGTAATAAACATGATTTTTCATTATTACTTACACAATTTATATAAATAAAACAATGAAGCATTTCGATTTTAACTATATTTGTGCATGACTAATTAAAATATTTTTAAAAGTAATAATTTATTTATATTATACATGAACAAAAATATAGGAAAATTTTTAACATAAGAGTTAAATGATAGAATGAAATATTTTTAAAGAAAAAAATTTATATGTTATTCGCAGTTGTTTTTGTACACAACTTTTAATATGTTATTTGGATTTTAATGTCGCAAGATTCAGATAGTGTTTAAATTAGTGTTGACATGTAAATAATGAACATCCATGTTCATTACTTGGAAAAATCATTAAATGACTTGTCTTCTATTATAAACCCTGGGGTCATATTTTGGTAGTGGTTTTGTTTGCGCTGCCCATTCGCAAACAATTCGACATACACCCTGTTTTATTGTTCCCTCGGGATATTTTTTTAGCCCCTTTGTTCAAATCAACTCGTCACAAATTATTATTTAAACTGAATTTAATAGAAAATAGATGAAGACTATGATGAAGAAATCAAAAAAATGTCGATTATTTTCATCATTAACAATAACTATTACTAATTACTTGTTTTTCATAAATTAAATTATCTGTATATTATTACCAAATTAATACATGTATAATATAGTACCATAAATTTGAAATTATTTAATCATATTAAAATATATTTTATATGTTTATTGTTTTAGATCCATACCAAATGTTTGGGGCCACCAGCAGTCGATTAGCTAGCTCTGGTAAGTCGAGAAACTTCATGATCTTGTATTTTTGTTTTTAATAGTCTTCAACTCTTAAATAACTAACGGAAACTAACTGCGGATAAATTAAATTGTATACAATTATTTATATAGTTTTATTATTATTTATTAATATTTATTATAAGTAATATAATTTATTATAAATAGTACACAATTTTTATGAAAAACCTTTTTGGAACAAAAAATGAATATTATTTTTAATTTGATTAAAATATGGCTGCAATAAAAAGAGATTTCGTTTATTATTCATAATCGATATTAAATAATATGAAATATTCAGTAATAGAAGATTCAAATAAATTTAACAGAAGTAAATCTAAATCTATAGTTCTTTGTATATATACTAAATGAGCTCTATACTATCATACTATATTTTAAAGTACTATTTCGAACTTCAATATGATAATGACTATCGTGGTTCATTTTTATTATTGCTTAGGTTGTCTAATAGTATAAACTATATTCCCACGCGATATTTGACACTTTTCCGGCTTTGGTTTGAATTATGTTCGGCTCGCGTGTATTCAATCGACTATTGCCACACTCTCGACTAACCCATTCGTCACGGTCTATGATGCCCCTAACAATATCTTATCTGGCAACTACATACACGTTTCAATGGGCACCTCGTGTTTTATTACATTGTATATCCATAATAATTAAGACAGTGATGTCTATTTAATTTATTTTTTACTACTCTGACCCTACGTTATATTAACATCGCGCACAACAATTATAAACTGTTTGAAAGTACATTTTTTTTCTTTTTGTCTGCAGAACTAACTACATTTAAAAAACGTTATTTTAATTTTATATTTTTTTCTACTAAAAATGTTTGAACATTAACTTTAATTTACATATTGTATTATTATATCAGTATAACATTGTATTACGGTAGTAGTTAATTTATAATATAACAAATGACTCATCTATAATATAAATTTATAAAACATTTATAAAGATTTACTTAAGTTAATTTTTTATTGTGTAAATTATACAGGTTCTGGTCAAATACAACTGTGGCAATTTCTATTGGAATTATTATCCGATAGCAGTAACGCGGCATGCATTACGTGGGAAGGTACAAACGGTGAATTTAAGCTCACCGACCCTGACGAAGTAGCACGTAGATGGGGTGAAAGAAAATCGAAACCAAACATGAATTACGATAAATTAAGCAGAGCATTAAGGTAAATCAAGGCATTTGTCATACTTGAATAATAGAATAATAAAATTTAAAGTTATAGACAAATATTTTATTTATTAGTCTATGCATTCAGTTATAAAAGTGTGTTGTACAAAAAGTTTGCGCTAACGAATTTTGTAAAATCTGAAGTTTTTGATCTTGTTTAAAAAAGTATAATTGCGACTTCAACTTTTGTACATATTGATTTTTGTTTTCTTTGTAACATTTCACCACGATCTTATATATACCTCAGCAATTGGATTTATACAGAATACTGTACTCCGACAGACACGTATTTGCTCATCCACTGGGTACCGAATGGCGAACATGTAATATATCCTAATTACAGGGTTAGGGCGGCAAGCAGCAGTAGTGTCGAAACGAAGGGGTGTGAAACTGGCTTTGGGCGCTCTAATTGTGCACGAGGGGTTGTTGGTCGGTGATTGCCACTGATTGTGCGTTAATCACCCGCACCCTACCTCCGTGGAGAAAACGCGATACAACAGAAAACGTTTATTAATTCTGTATGTGTACAAAGCCACTGAATTCTCACTTAATCCAGACATTTCGTTTTTTATAATACTATTTTATTATATGGTTCAATCAAATTATTAAGCGAGCTTTTTCAATAAATGTTACAAAAGACAGATACACTTTTTTTAACCGATAAATCAGTATTAATTTATACCATTATTCGTGATGCAGATGATAAAATAAAGTAATGCTTACGTAAATAATAATAACTATTTTAAATTCCTGACTATATATATATACACTAGTATAAATTATGTATATTTTAATTTTATTAATATGGTATGAATACTATTATAAAATTAATAAACTAAAAATATATAAACATCTCATTTATTATGGTTATGACTTTATGAGCAAAACTAAAACGTCAAAATATTATACAGTTCTATCATCCATTTATACTGAATGATCCTAAATTATTATATCAAATAATATATTTATAAAAATATTTTAAATAGAGTTGGTAAAGCAATTATGAGGTTTAATTGAATTATACGTAAAATTGAAAATTGTGATGTTTATATTTTTCCATTGTACATCATTAAAAGTTAAAATAAATTAACACAAAAAAAATGTACATTTACTTTTAGTCATCAAATTTATAATCTGTATACCCATTCTGTGTAGATTTATAATGAAGTAAAATAATTCTATATTCCACGATAGAAAATCTCATTCGATATTTTTGATTCAGAAATTAAATTAAGTCACCGGGATTCAAAAGGGGACCGGATATAAATTGATAATCGTGGGTTGGAAACCTTTTCATCGTCAACTGCACAGTTATTACGACTCGAATCATTCCCATTAGCCACAATCCCTATGGACCATCATGTATACTTCCGAATTCCTACTATACCTGATTTATACATATATATATACCTACTATACCTTTAATCGACCGGAATATGACTTTTAATAATAATTAAACTTTGATCAATATTTTATTTTTAAATATAATTACAAATCATGATTAAAATTAATTAAATTAAATTAAAATTAATATAATTTCAAAATTCAATTGCTTAAATAATAAATATTTTCTTATTTTTAGTTTGACTTATTTGAATCTAAATTATTTAACTTTTATACATATTTTTTTCTAATCATAAAAATAATATCTCAAGCATTTATTTCATTATTTTTTTTTTTTTTAGGTATTATTATGATAAAAACATAATGACTAAAGTACACGGAAAAAGGTATGCGTACAAATTTGACTTTCAAGGCTTGGCAGCAGCCACTCAACCAGCAGCTGCAGATCCCACTGCGTACAAATATCAATCAGATTTATTTATGACCACCTATCACCACCATCATCACCACTCACCGAAATTAAACTTCATCTCACCTCACGCGCCAGGAATAACGTCTTCTACAGGTAAACTTATTATTATTTAACTAAAATATCAAAATTATTTCCACATTAAACGATGTAATCGTATCTAAAAGACCAAATATGTTAATTATAGGGGACGAACATTTATCTAATAATAAAAAAATGTATTACATTTTCAACATAAATAAATTAAAGCTAAAAGGAATATATAAAATAAAAACTGCGTAATAGTTAATAATAATGCTACTTAAAAACCTACTACTTAATAAATAATGCAAGTTAAAAACCTATTTTATTTTAAAATTATTTAAGTGTCATTGATTTTATTTATTAAACTCGACTTAAAAATAATCAGTTCTATATCTAACCTATGTAACACTATTAAGAAATGAGAATCGATATAAAGCACTACCGTCATTTTTCTTGATTCTTTGACCTATATATTCGAGGGTATATTTTTAAAAATACACTTGATGAAAGATATACTAACGTTGCACACTTAAAAGTCTTACACGATGTTCATGTAGGAAGCAATTCGCTCATTAATATATATATATATATATATAAGAAAAACGAAAGCGTGGAAAAATAGTAAACACACATCTTATATGTGCATCCAAATCATGTGTAAAAAACTAATGACAATGTATGGGTACCGACCTTGGTGTAGAATAAGAATATAATTTGTAGAGGAAAATACTGAGGCAAGATGATGAGAATAATATTTATATTATACATACACATGATAGTAACCCTCGTGGCCCGTATATATCGTATATAAGTGCACAACAATAATAGAATAGCAATACACGGTCCGGTGACGGTGGTGGTGAGGGAAAATAACTTGGTAACCACGTCGTTCGTGCGTGCAAGCGCACATTAAATACACGTGGATGGGCATGTGTGCGTAATAGCAATGGAAGGAAAACTAGGCAAACAGCCCGTGTAAGAATCATCCTTATGTAAACGACAGCAACGATTGTGCTTTTAAAGCGTGAAAGTCACACGCCCCGAGGACGAGCGGACCTGACGAAGGATAACGGTGCAAATTTATACACGTATATACAAGCAACGTGCGCGCAAACAAAACTTGTCAACCGCACGCCTTTTACGATGGTGGTGAAAATTTACATCAGGTGTCGACAAAGGCGTGGGGTACGAGCAGCATGTACACAAATCGCTGGCGGGTATGTATTGACCCGTTTATGTGTGTGTGTGTGTGTGTGTGTGTGTGTGTGTGTGTGTGTGTGTGTCTGTATGTATATCTACTTATACGGTGAGGAAACGAAGAAAAAAGGGCAAACATGAATAGAAAGACGAATCTGTATACGATTATATTTACGTTAATACACACAATAACTACTACTTATACGAATATGAGAGCGTATACGTTTTTATCAAAAGCTGTCTTATGTATACTTTGAACTCGACGTGTACGTTTTTTCGAGTGTTGAAATGATCCGTTAAAATAAGGTTTATATCCAATATTTAGATATGTTTACTCATATAGACATGTGAAACTTGGTTAACCAACACGAAACCTTTAAAATGTTTGAACATTAATATTATAGACTATTTCTACATCGCCTTACTGTCTATTGTGACTGTAAATTTAAATTGAAAAATCATAATTACGTGTGTATGTCGTCCACGTTGGGGTATTGTAAAAAAAAAAAGTTTCATTCCCCTTTGATTTTGATTTTTTCCTCCCTCTAATATTAATTCGACTATTGTCACAAAGAAAAAGGTTTGTTGAGAAACATTTAACTTAACGATATGCAAATGGGGGAAACTTTGATTTAATATTCAATCGAACAATATTGGCTTACACGTACCAACTGGCTCCACTGTTTTGAGGATTAACTAAATCGTCACGTGAAAATTCCTCATTAGTTCATCCAGATTTACATAGTAGATGTATAGTATTTTAGTTAAAAAATTTCAATTCGACTTGTAATCAAATTGTTTTCCGATGTACCCATTACGTTGAATACGTTTTACTTTAAATTAGTTTTAGAAACATAGTTCGGTGTATTTATGCGTTACTTCTAAAAGCACACCCACATTTTCCAGTAATAGACATTCAAGACACTACCAATATATATATAATATAACCATTATTGAAAATAAATTTAAAATAACCTATATAATTTTAATATGATATTTTCATAATTTGTTTATAAAACGTGTACATTATACGAAATTAAAATTATATAATCTTCATCACACTATTACAGGGTTAGCTGTTTTATACAATAATGATACGATTCATGTATTTTTTAACTGCTATGTACAATTATGACGATTGTGTAGAAATGTTGGTTTTAACGTACACAGGATCAACGTCATCCACATGTACAACAGCATAGGAAAAACATCGCGTTAAAAACGCGTAACGATCGTAAATTAAGTACGCACACGGACGTAGACGATGATGTGATTTATTCGTAGCGAATACGGTTATGAAATTCATTATGGTCTCTCCTCGTCCTTACGTCGCGGCGTAGTGTTAAGTCACCGACGGGAACCCTACACACATTATACATATATATGGACATTAAGAGCTGGAGATTTAGTACAAACCGAGCGGTGGTGCGATATTTATACGCCGAAGCGAATCGTCTGTCTCATTAGCCATCCACAATGGGTCCTTAATGACTCCGCCACCGTTGCCGTTGTCGTCCGGTCCTTGCCGCGTTTAATGACTGCACGCCCGTCGCCCAGGACCCTTTTGCACATTTTCTACGCGCGCAGGAAGACATTGTATCCAGTGATTTTTCGCTCCACTGCCCGGCAACGTCAATGCCGACTACGCTCGCCGTCAACCTATTAATAACGTCAAATCATCCTATAATAGCGCCATTGCAGTGCATGTAATCATTATTATTTTCCGTCAACATGACAAATTGTTATTATTCATACGTAATACTGGGTAGCGATGCAAAGTAGTACTGTTGCATATCGTTGTACTTGCATGTGTACGTTTTCGTCATACAATGCAACTACACTGCAGATACGTGAAATGTTTACGTTATGTACGTGGCTTCCAAATAATTTACTCTCATCTGGTATTCGGAGAAAATCCTAAGACACGTCAATAAGTAGAATTCTTATTTTAGTCGAAACGATAAATTGATTATAATGTATTAATGTCCAGATGTAGGATTTCAATAATATTGTGCTTACACTGCATGGCTTATAAAACTAAGAACGATAACATTCATATCGAGAGAATCTTGTCATAATATCAAGTATCATCCGTAGAATCAAAAATTAAAAACTTACATTTATCAAGGTCAGTTCGTAATACCCCGAAATACCATATATATATATATATATATATATAACCATTCATAGGTTAAAATTATTATTTCTGATGGTGAATGGTGATTTGCGATATTATGGAGGGTAGAATGAACTACATTAATAATACAAGTATATACTTAATATTTTAGCAAACTATACACACGTGATAAAAAGAACCGTTAAATGCCGATTGGCATACGATCCATGGTGTATGTTGTGCATCATAGCAGAATCACAGCCGTTAAAAACGAGGTATAAGTGACGGAAGAGGGATGAAGATATAGGGTGAGAGAGAGAGAGAGAGAGAGAGAGAGAGAGAGAGAGAGAGAGAGCGAGAGAAAGAGAGAGAAAGGAGAGAGAGTGAGAGAGTGAGGATGAGAAAGATATATATATATAGAGAGAGAGAGAGAGAGTAAGAGAGTGAGGATGAGAAAGATATATATAGAGAGAGAGAGAGAGAAACGAGAGGTGCGACAAAAGCGATCACGGACGAGCTTTTGTCGGGCGTCACTCCCGGCACCGGAAATTGCTTGGCGCTGCTGAACCGATAGCGCGCACCCCGCCGCAGTCGACACGGTTCCCCGAGAGCAAAGCGTTTATTAAACGCCCCGGCGGCGGCCGTATAAGCAAACTCCTCCGCGCGCCACGGCGACAAGCGGCGGGTTACCCAAACAAGAGCGAATGTCATCTTTACACACACGCTGCACGCCCGCGGCGTACGCACCTACGCGCAAGAACAACGTATGTGTGTGCGATCCTGCGCGTGCGCACCACACTGTTCCGCGGCGTCTCGGTTGCGCGACGAGTGGTGCGCGTCTGACAAACGCCCACGCACCCGTGTACGTGCTCGCACCTAGACTGCGCACCCGCCACACGCGTCCACCTACCACGCGATTAATTGCCAACATCACGAGCGACGGTCAATACACAGCAGATATGGTAATTAATACGCGCAAGCGTGCCGTGATTCCGGTGTGTATGTGTGTTTGTGTGTGTGTGTGTGTGTGTGTGTGTGTGTGTGCGCGCGTAAGTCTCTCGGGTGAGCACTTGGATACAACTTTCCACCGGGTCCTACATTGTAAATCAAACCACGTGATCGTTACACGATGATCAAGTTTTGTGATTTAAGTGCACATCAGTACAAGTGATGAGACATGGGAAAAACTTTTGATTTCCCCCTTCCCTTCCCACAAACGGACGTGCAATGCCGATTCGGTTTCGACCTGCCCTATCCCTCCCCCCCGTTTTCTGTATACAAGAACATATTACGTATTCGTGTAACGGTATTTCCATACGCTCGTCACGTGTTCCTCGCAAGTGTATCGTTCAAGTTAACGTAGTACAACAACTGTATTTCGTACGCGCGACCCGTATTCTCGCGAGTGCCAAAAAGTCAAATGAACACTCATATCAGACCCACTTGCAGTAATATCGAATTGGTAAATTCACTACAATACTACTGTCAGTGCAAATACAAATTTTCGTTTTACTTTGAACATAGATGGACATTTTGCCGACAAATAAAAGCATTATATATCACATGGAAATTTAAAAATTAGTAGAGAAGGAAAAATATAAAAAATGTGTAAAAGTTGACCTTGAAATAGCTTTTGATTTATTTTCGAATCGTTTAAGTTATGATTATTGCTTCGTTCGCTTTTTTTTCTTAATCATTGCAACACCACCACAACCCATAGCTTTTAAGTATTTAAAATCATCAATTCGTATCATGCATTCATATGAGCTTTTAAAAACAAAAATATAAACGGAAAATATTATAAAATTCTCGCATAACATGATGTAATAACTTTTGAATTAAAATATTTCGGACAAACAACGATCTCATATATCAAGACAGCTATATAACTTTGTTTAAACTTTAAACTTTATCAAACCTTGTGCCAAGAACATTTTTAGATAGAAACTAAAATTAAAATAAACGCCCACAGTACTTCCAGTAGCCCAGAATGTTTAAAGCGAGATTAGAACACAAAGTTGTCAACAGTGTAAGTTTAATCCTAACAGCCTTAATACTTTCGAAATCTGTGCCATAAAAATACAAATCTAAAAATAATATGTATAATTTTAGTTGCTCCAGTGTTTACAGGCACGTAACGGTCTATGTATTACAAAAAATTATGATAAGCACTAATATAATGAATTATATATATGTATATACGTATATATAGTATAATATTCCTAAACAATGTAATATTATACGTTATACAAGGTTTATAGTCTTAAAAGACCTCAGACTTAAACAAATAAAACAGTATATCAAACTTAATTTTAAGTTTAAATTATAATTTACACAAGTAGGTACTATAACAAAATCGAAATTATTTTAATTAATATTTAACCGCTGGTAAAAGTAAAGCAAGTACCTATTTTAATTCAATTCAATCACGAGTAATCAAAACTATGTATTATCAAAACTGCAATAAATAAACGTTATAGTTTTTATTTATAAATTTTCTGTCTCGATCGAAATTCATTATTATTAACTATGTTGACTCGCAGATATAAATATTTATTTTTTTTTTTTTGATAAACTTAAATTGTATTCGAGGTAATACGTACAGTTTGACTACCAGTTCAGACTGAAATATAATTGTAACAAAACTAGGTACACCAAAATCAATTTCCAGAAACCCATTAGTTTGTAATTTCATTTGTCAATACGTTCGTTTCGGTTGAACACCGAACAGGGGTTTTGTTTATTGCAATAACCAGTGAAATATTGGGAATGAGACCCCTCAGCTAAAACCGCTTGCCCGTCGGCAATAGGAAAAATACATTTTCTGCAATAACGAAGTTTTCCCTTTTGGTTTATACGTTGTTCCGGTGATATTTTTCAGCATTGATTTCCATTCTTTTGCCAGACAAACGCGATTACGATTATAAAAAGGAAGCGATTCTTTTAACGTATTTATTATCCGATAAATGGTGTTCCGGTAATATGGCCAGCTTTGAATTTATTTGAAATTACTCGTACATAAACGTAAATTTTTATACATATTAATATAATATAAACAAAAACAATTAATCGCATAGTGTATTTACATTGAAATGGAACGCCATGGGTTTTAAGTAGCACGTATGGTCTACACACTATGTGAACCATAAAATTCGATTATAAATCATGCAATGTATGAACATTAAAAGAGAAAACTTTGAAATTATTTACTAAGTATCGATTGTCATGGAAGAAGTATTACGAATACGAAAATAGGTTTTCATAACTTAAACCTCTATAATTGGTAAATTCAGCAACTATGTTTTCCGAAGATGACCTTTCTGCAGTAGCTGTTGTAATGGGTAAAGTTGCCACGATTTTTAAAAGTTTGTTGGTATTTGGATAGTAATTTTATTACAATGATTTAGCAACTCTGATTTTATATTGTTATGTAATCGTTAATCCTCTATACTATTTAGTATATGAAGATTAGAAATGATGGGTGTTAATCCAAAACGTGTTATTACCAACAATTTGAAAACCGAGATAAACATCTATTTAATACTAAAAATTAAATTTTCATAAATATCTTACCATGATGCTAAATATTTAGACGTTTAGGTAAAGCCTAAAGGTCACGTGTCATAGAAAACCCGAATACATTCCCAAGCAAAAATTATCAAAGTAGTAGATATGATTATAATATTATGACTTACATTATATTTGTATGCATATAGAATGCGTGTATGTAACGTGTGTATAATACGTTTATACAAACTTATAACATAGTTTCCAAATCAAAATTCTAAAAATATAAAAATTGTGTTTCATATTATTATTATTACCTATTATTTATTAGCGACCATTCGGGCAAAGAGTGTACATAAAGATACTACAAAAATTAATTTACCATCTCAGGTTCATTGGGGGGGGTTCTGATCCCCAACCCCCCTCCCCTCCAATTTATACGCCACTGGAATATTTCATGATTATTACTTAACGTTCATCGTTACTAATTTAATAATCATTTTTTTTTGTTGATTCCATTCTAAAAATATATTTTTATGAAAGATAATCCGTCAATATAATAGCAAAAAACATTTTTGATTAGACATGGATCATAGATAACGCGGAATAAACTGTACCACATTCGAGAAGTGATTATTATTTTTTTTAAGTCACTAGCTAAAAAACATAGAATTTTTGAAGTATAATCTCAGCACAAAAACATAGATAGGTACTCTGTGTACATAACGATAGATGGTAAAATATTAATAAAAAGGTAGGTTTCGTTTCTATCGCATTTTTCTACCATTTTTACCGGAGAGGAAAAAACGAGAAATCTTTAACTTATGTCATCAGAACAAGAAACAATAGGTTGTATTTTATATATTTGGATTTCAGTGCATTATCTATATTGTATTCAATTATTAGTTATCCAATTAACCATACATACGTACTTCTACAACGTTTTACTTACAAAATACATGAAAATCGAAAGTAAATTAGAGCACTTTCGAAGATTAACGCCACCGCGTAACAATAAAGGGGGACAAGTCCATCTCGTGGACATAATGCATAGAGATATTATTACAGGGGGTGATTACAGGGATCACAGATGACCATTGAAAATAATTATATTATTAAACGTGTATACATATTATGCAAAATCATCAATGTATTATAAACACGCTGTTCTTTCATTGATACAGGTAGCATATTTCCGTCAGCGTCGTCGTATTGGACCAACCCGGGAGCCAATCTGTACTCGAACATAGCGGCCGCGTCCGCGTCGCACTCGATGGGCCACCACCATCATCCGGGAGCGAGCACCGCCGTCAGCCACCACACGGGCGTATCACCGCACCTGGCCAGCTACTCTCACTACGCGTCACCATGACCGACGGACGTGCACTGGGCCGCCCGATCACTGACAGGCTCCACCGCGGCCCGACCACCACTTCCGTACAAGCCCATCGAATGAACGGGACCACAAATCTCAGCCTGAACGTTCAAGAACAATAACCGGCCAACTCTATTGTAGTGGGGTATAACTATTAACTACTTCTACTACTAATACTATTACTACTACTACTACTACTACTACTACTACTACTACTACTACTACTACTACTACTAC